GCGGCAGGGCCAGGCCTGCTTCCTGCTCGCGGGGACCTGGGCCTCGCCAGCTCCTGGGGTTCCCTTTCGGGTTTTCCCTGGGTACCGCCAGGGCAGCACCTAGTCCGCGCTCTCTTTTCTTCCAAAACAATAAACCTGCTTTGGAGGAACAGATTCTCTCCCCTGCTTGGGGGTGGTGCGTCCCCGGTTCGGGTTTGGGGCCCCAGCACGGCGGTTTCCAGCGAGGGTCCCCAGCTAACAGGCCTAGCTTCTTTCTCGGGGGTATTTTAAAGGCCAAGCTAGACTGGAGGAAGAGCAGTCTGGCCTTCGGGCCTGGTCACCTCCCACTGCACCCTCCGGTGTCTTTCAGGGCCAGTTCTGGGGGTACATGGCTCCTCTGCTAGGGTTCCACGGGGCTGGCAACACTGGCCTAGTCCTGGCCTGTCGGCAGTTGCTGTTCCAGGGGTGACCTTCGATGATCCGGAGTGTTCTGCTCACCCGTGCGTTCTGTAGGAGGCATTTCCTCTACTAGAAGGGTGGAGTGACTACCACAGCGTCATTGGGGAAGTCGGGAGGTCCCAGCAGGAACAGGTTTGATGTAGTGCTGGGACAGTGGGAGAGACCTCACTGAGGAGACAACGCTGTTGGGTTGCTGGGAAGGGCACTGAAGCCACCAGGGTTGATGAGCATGAGGAGGAGGCGGCAGGACTCTGGGGGGAGTTCAGGCTTTGCAGGCAGCTGGAGGCACCCAGGGCCCTGGCAGTGGGAGCCCAAGGACGTGAGGATGCTGGTAGGTGGGCAGAGGGTCCACTCTGGTCCCATGGGACCAGATGTTCTCTAACAATGTTATGAAAGAAGAAAAAATATATTAATCAGCCATTATGAGACTTCTTTTGATGTTTCTAGTTTTCAGTCCAGGTGTATGTCTGTTCCACACAACCAAAAAATAAAGAAAATCCAGAGTTAAAAGATGTAGCAGGGGTGGTATTCATATTTTTCTCTTTACAAGAAGACTCATTAGAGCTTCCTTAGAGACATGTAAGAAATTCAGAGGTGCACACTTCGTATCTTCTTACTAGGGAAACTGAAACAATATAAAGTGAGTTTCTTTCATTTCTTTATGACACTGAGGGGACATTTAGCTAACCCAGAAGACATCTGCAGAAAAAGGCAATCTTGATTTTTAACTAGAAGAGAGAATCCTGAAATCCAAGTTTGGTGTTATTATCTGTTAATACCAGAAAAGCTTTGTATCCACACCAGGATGCTGCGTGATTATAATGGGCTGCATGTCCAACACATGCCTAATCCCATCATCACTTGAAAAAATATCATAAACCAAAATAGTATTTAATATACCCAGTAAGCTTCATAGCTTAGGCTAGCCTTTCTTAAACATGCTTGGAAAACTCATATTAACCTACAGGTGGGGATATTGACAGAGTATCCTAACTACAGTATTGGTCAATCAACACAACTTGAAGCTTGGTTTCTACTGAATGTGGATTGCTTTTTGCACCATCATAAAAAAATCAAAAAAATCCTAAATTGAACCATTTTAAGATGGGAATGGTCTGTGATTAAGTCTGGTCTTAAATTTGGAAATGTAGAGAATAAAAATGACCATCATAATAGGTTAGCCTGCAGCAAAGCAAATAAAGTTCATATTGACAAGTATAATCAGGAAAATAACACTATAAATTTTATTTTCCAAAATTTTTAAAACAAGGGAAGCTTTAAAAAATGTCATATGGAATTGCAATGTAAAAACCAAAATTGCAATTTATGTTGTAATTCCAAATATATAAATGAAATTGATAGAAAGTCAATCTCACATATTTAAAATCTAGTATGGAACATTGAGGTGTTGCTTTTCGCTATATCTTTATCTTTCCCCCAATTTTTAAGTTGCAAAATATATATAACACAATTTACTATCTTACCCATTTTTAAGCACACTGTACCATTAATGGTATTAAATACAATCAGATTATTGTGCAACCATCACCACTATCTATTTTCAGGACTTGAAAACTGAGACTCCACGCCCATCCGCTCCCTCCCTCCATTCCCCGGCAACCCCGGGTCTGCGTTCTCTCTGCTAACTCATGTAAGTGGGATCATATGATATTTGTTCTTCTGTGTCTTATTTCATTTTGCCTAAGGTCCTCAAGGTTCATCTGTGTCATAGCATGCGTCAGAATTTCCTTCTTTTGAAAGCTGGATCATGTAACACACACATGCTTTATTTTGCACATCTGTTCACCCATCTATGGACACTTGGGTTGCTCCCCTGTTTTGGTTGCTGTGAATCATGCTGTCTTGAACATGTGTACACAGCTGTGTGTGGACATCTCTATAGGAACGATGACGCTGGGCTTTCAAACAAAGTAGAGAGTAGGCTCCATCATGAACTTGGCCCCATGTCACTGGATTTCCCAGGGCTGGAGGTGGCATGGCTGGGGTCGTGTGGAAGGAGGTAGGGTCGGGGCGCTGCTGAAGTGCCTCTCTGGAGATGGTGATTCTCAGGTGAACAGAAGGCCAGCAGGTGAGCCTTGCTCAGGAACAAACCTCAGGCTGAGCACTGGCATGTCAGAGTGACTGTGAAAGCTGAAAGCTACAAAGGTGCCAGTGCCCAGCTCTAGACCCCTGCAGCAGTCTTCTGAGGGGGTACCTGGCATCTATGCACTGTCGAGCCTCTGCAGGTGCTTCTGACTTGACAGCCGAGGGCTGGGGATAGCACAGCCTGGGACCATGGAAGGAAAAGTCAATGTGCCTCTTTCCTCCTCTGGGAAGGTAAATGTCAAAAGGGGCTGTTTTGATTTGTAAAACTCTGTGAATCCATAGGAGGCAAGACAGCCTTCGTGTTGCCCTTGAACAAGGGAGAAGTGAGATGTTCTTCCCACCAGCCATGAACAGGCCCTGTGCACCGGGCAGTCACCCAGTGGGAAGTGGCTTGTGAACCGTCCTGTCAGAATTCCCAAGAGCACCAGATGGAAGGAGCTTTGCAGAAGCAGGTGGAAGGTGGACAAGGTCACTTTTGTGGTGATCACAGAGGTAGGCGAGGAGCTGGGACAGAGACGTGCACCTGCCCCCAGGGTTCTTTGAGGACCTGTGCACCTCGTCGGACCTACAGGTTCAGTGACACTGCTGGAGAGTCCCACACATCCATTCTTAACTGGATTTGTGACATCCTAACTGATGGAGCTCATTTGCTTGTATATTAAAAATGACCTTGAAGGCAGGCTGTGATCTCCATTCTTTGGGATTTTATAGACCAGTAAATGTCAAATAAAACTTTTGGGATTGACATATGGTTACCAGCTTTTATATGAAGTAAGGACAATAAAAATTCTAAAAACTATGCTCTCCTATCACCATTTCATAAGGAGGGTTGTTTTAACATCAGAAGGAAGGATACCTTGAGTCTGGAAACTCCACCCCTGAATTTGGAAGAACAACTCTGTATTGCTTGTGGCTTCCTCCTTCTCTGTAGACACAAGGAAAGTATATCTGAGGACTGAGGCTCCTCTGCCTTGAATATTTTAGGACAGCTGTACCAATTGCAGATGTTGTCAATTTCCTTGAAGAAGTGGTCTCAGGGATTTTAAGGGAACACCGAGGAATTCAAAGGCTGAAGTATCTGTACCCTGCCTCAGTTTCCACTGTTCAGAGCTGTGTGGTAAATGCTGGCTGCCAGAAACCATCATTGCTTTTAAAAGAAGTAAAAAAGACAGACTGTGGCAAACAGAATCATGGAAACTTGGAGTTGGAAGGTTCCTTAGCCATGATCTCATCCATCCCTGCGGTTTTCACACTATCCTCCTGCTCCTCGGAGCCCAGCAGTGTTGCTGGCACTGCAGACCTGACTTGAATTGTTTTAATCACAGAGCTTCTGATTAAGATAAAGTTCATTTGCTTAAAAAAAAAAAAAAAAAAAAGCTGAACACCAACAATTTAATCCATCTCTAATTTAGTGGAAAGAGGAAGATTGAAAGCAGCACATTTTCCTGAGGCCACCCATTCAGCTGGTGACACACACAGTGGATAGGGCTGGAGGACTCCTGCGGTTGAGCCTTGAGTCTTAAGTGTCCCCACAAAGGTCCCCGTGGGCAAAGGCTTGCTCCCCAAGGTGCTGCTGAGAGGTCATGGGGTCTTTCAGAGGTGAGACTCAGTGGGAGGTCTTTAGGTCATTGGGAATGCACCCTTGAAGGGGACTGTGGGCCCCAATCCCCTCCTCTTTTTTCCCCTTTCTGGTCGTGAGGTGAGTGTCTGCTCTGCCATGTTGAGGGCAATATTTTGCTCCAGGGCACACCTGGCCATTCAGTGCCTTGAGAAAAGATTCTGTTTTTCTTTTTCTTTTCACTTCTGAGCAACAGCTCCCCATCCCTGGTACTCCCAAGGCCCTTTTCCTAACAGTGATATCTGAGTACAACCTGGTTCACTCTGCTTTCTGGATGGACACTGCCTCCTAATGCAGCTGGCAAGTGCAACCGAGTCCCTGCCTCCCCCAGGCCCCTGCCTGCCCCGGGCCCAGGCCTGATGCTGGGGCTCTGCACACGTGATTCTTTATAGACATATATACTGCTTTTACCAGTAGTTGCGCCTGACCTCTGGGGCTCAAGCTCCCAGCTCAGAACACAGCTTCGGAAGGAATGTTCCTAAACAAGTAAATCCAACAAGGAGCCCTTTTCAGGTTGGATATAAGCCATTTAAATTCAATTCCCAAAATGGCCCAGCTTCAAATAAAATCACATATTTATTCATTTCTTCCTACTTAAATAAATAAAAGCTCTATGCAAAACTTTATTTATATTAATTAAATCCTAATAGTTTTATAAAAAGTTGAGTGTTGGTATCTAGCAATCCTATTACTTTAGCATCCTATCCCATAACACCATCCAACATTTACCTTTGATTTCAAGCATTTATAAAATTAGCATTTTAACACAATACCATACATTCAGTACTAATTTCATCTGAAACAATCATTAAATAATTATTAAATAATAGTCATGATACCAAGGGAAAAGGAAAGCATTTAATGATTTTCCAGACGCTTTTAAGGAAGAAACACATCAGGGTATCCCTCCTGATGTGGGGGCATGATTTGACCTATGACTAAAAGGCACTTGGGAGAGTGAATTGGGTTTTCAAACTGAAAGGATATTTGTGTTGACTGATATTCTTGAAAGATTCAAACCCTGAATCTTTCATGTTATGAAATGAATGTACACCAGGGAAAGTGACTTATCTAAAGTTACAGAAGGTCTTCTGATAACAAATCTAGAATCTTTTTCATTTCATAATGTTTATACTATAATATAATCATATTTTTTGAAAGATCAAGCCAGATATGAGCTGGGTACAGTGGTGCATGCTTGTAATCCCTGCAACTTGGAAGGCTAACGCAAGAGGACTGAAAATTTGAGGCCAAACTCAGCAATTCAGCAAGATCCTGTCTCAAAACAAACAAATAAACAAACAGAACTGGGGACATGGCTTGGTGGTGGAGAGGCCCTGTGTTCAGTCCCCAGTGCCCAAATCAAAACTAAAGCCAAAAGATCAAGTCACATATCAAGGAAAACAAATCACGACATCTAAAACTAACAGACCCTAAAATAAGAATTTAATAAAAATATAAGCGGACCACTGTGTTGGGACAGTATCATCAGTGTGGACACAGTGCTGATGACACTGACGGCGGCAGCTCTCTGGTGTACTAATTCATTCACACACTCGTGTGTCACTCTCTCTGTGTGATAGCTGTGTTCTCCTCTGTATCACTGGAGTTCAATGTTTTCCACAGAAACTTCTCATTGGGTTTCCAGAGGGAAGTTTCCTGCCTTTCCTTCCTTTTGCAGTGTACGGCAAGAGGTGCTTTTGCACACAGGGTCTCTATAACCGCTACGTCAGTCAGTTTACTGAGACTGTCCTCATTCTGCTCATTCAAGATGTCCCAGAAGTCTTTTGGTCTCTGTTTTGCTTTTTCCATGGGCCTTGAAAGAACCTTCTTTGGCAGTCGTGTGGGACCGTTCCCGTGACTTTTAAAGAGGTCATCGAGAATAGAGGTGTCACCAAGCAAGCCTTCCACAGAAGCATTTCCGAACTCTGGATTTTCTACCTTTTTGTCTTCTGACTTGCAAAGGGGTCTGTTTCTTGAGATGCCCGTCCCTGTGAGGTCCTTTGGGGCTTGCTTGGTATTTTCCAGCTGCCTCTCCTGTGCCTCTGACTTGCCCTTGGGAGAGCGGGAGGCCGCCGGGTCTCTGGAGGCTCGCCCATCGTCCCCACTGTCAATCTCGTGAGCAGAGCTAATAGGAGATTTTGCAGTTTCTGCATCACTGGAAAGTGCCTCTTCCTGACACGCACCGTCACTCTGAAACTTAACTGATTTTCCTTTAGATGCTTTTGGACTGCAAATTTGAGAAATTTGGTTGGTACAATCTCTAAAGGACAAATTTTTAGATTGTGATGGTTTTCTTTTTATAAAAGAGTTTCTTTCTTTACATTTATTTCTGGTACTCTCTCCTTCCTTGTGGGCAGATTTGATGAATTCTGAAACAGAATCCACAAAAAATTCTTTCACCTCCGGATGCTGAGAAGCATAAAAGTCTCTTAGCATTCTCTGTCGTTCTTCTGAAGTGGCGTTAGTTATATGTATAGCGAATTCCTTTACAGAAGACAGGTTAAAGAAAGAAGCCATTTCTTCAAATTGTTTTCTAAAGATTGAATGAAGAAAATCAGTGGTTATTTTCATTATATTTTATTTTTAGAAAAATCATCATCAATGATAGGAAATGTAGAGGCAAAGTTATGTAATTTTGTTCCGTTAGTTTATGTCTGCTTAATTCCACACAAGAATGCATTTTATCGTGGCCTCTTTCCTTATGCTACTAGGAAAATTATGTTAGCCCATGAAATCACCAGCTTTCTTAAGTTATTCTGATTTATGCTATCAGGTATTTTCTGGGAATTATGGGATTCCAGCCGGCTACTCCTCCAGTGAGCCAATTTATGACTGACATGAGAATCATAATGTATATTTGAAAATCTATATTGTATTAAAATCAATGAAATAATATTGTCAAAGGGTTTCAGTGAACAGAAAGAAAATTCTGGAGAATTAAGAAAGAAATATTTTTCTTTCTCTCTCCTTTACCCTTTTTCTACAAATACAGCATAGAAATTTTATAAGACTTTTTTGATGAGCCTAAAAGGAAAGTTGTAAACTGTTAAGCCTTGATTCTTTTTTTCTCAATTGGTCCACTTTTAGTATAGACAGCCTGAGAGGTGAGATATTATTTGAAGAAGTTGCAGTTTTAGTATAGGATATTAATAATAAACACTGTTACATGAATGATGAGGATGAGGAGACGGGCCTTCTAGAAGCCTGGTGAGATGGAGGCAGAGGAATGACATGGCCACCTGGGCCACAGACTGCTCCTCTCCATTGGTGAGCATGCTATGAACTGAGTTGTTCCCCCCAAATCATGCTGGAGCCCCAACACTCCATCTGGCAGTAGTTAGGGTCAGGGCCTCTAGGGGATCAGTGGTCATGAGGTCGTAAGGGTGGGGTTCCAATCTGGCAGCATTAGTGTCCTCATGAGAAGAGAGGCCACAGAGCTGGCCCAGGGCCTTCTTACAGGTTCCAGCTTTCACGGTTCCCGCTCCACCCCTCCCTCCTGCCACACGAGAACACAGTGAGAAGGAGGCCATCTGCAAAGTAGAAAGAAGACCCCCATCAAAGACTGAATTGGCTAATACCCTGATCTTGGACTTCCTGAGTCTGGAACTCTGAGGATTAATCTCTGTTGTTACGTTACCCATTATGGTAGCTCAAGAAGAAGACAGAGGGTACTGATTGCTGATATTGAATTTATGTTTGTAAATACTTCTTTAAAAAAAGCCAAAGATAGTGTTGTAGCATATAATTAAAATTCCAAAGTTTTAGGATTTTTACTTGTATTTTATACAGTAGCTCTTTTAAAAACCCATTTATTCATTCCACAAATATTTATAGAGCCCTAATATGTGCTAAGTACTACACACCAGTGAACAAAACTCCTTAAGGAGTTTATAGTCTTAACTGGGGAGGACAAATGCAGGAAAGTCAAACTACAAGAGGGCAGAGGTACCAAGTACAGAGGCCAATTGGCACCCACAGCAGGGGCACCCACGCCAGGGATTACTGGTGGGCAAACTGGGGGTGGGGTTCTCTGCTGTCATCTCAGGTCAGGTGAAGATGAGTAAGGAAGCTTGCCGGGAAGAGGGGACACACACAGGTTCACTTCCAAGGGGACAAGGTGCATGGAGGGACAGGAGAAACTGCAAAGGGACAGCTGACAATCATAAAGGGTCAACAGCCAAGGTGAGAAGACTGAATTTATCTGATGCAAACAGAGAGTTCTTAGGATAAAATAATGATTTCTTTTTAGTGTACATAAGTAAGTAGGAACTTTAATGTCATGTTATTATTATTTTTTTACCAGCCATTCTGGGCTACATAAAGTGTGTGTTTCCTTGGGCTTTAGTGGCACTCCATAGGGCGTGCTTGCTTCTTCCTTTTGTGACTTCAGATGAGTACTGTGGCTTCTAGTACTCACTAGAGTGTCTTATTAAATGTTCCAAATCCAGACACACACACACCTGACCACCAGCGACTCTCATCTCCGACACAATACTAACTTACCCCCATGTGTGTGCTCCCACACTTCTTTCTTAGAAATTGCCAATGTTCTTTTTGGAAAGTGAGCATGTTCTTAAAAGGTTCCAGTTTTTAGTTCAAATGAGGTAATATGATATTATTTTGTTTATTAATCATCTCCAAATCCATTTTTGTGACCTTTCTAACAAATATTTGTGCTTGCAAAGAGTTAGCGATTGGCAGGGTTGCGAGCTGATGTCTTTTATTTACCCAAGACTTGGTAGTGTCTTGGCAGCTGCCAAAGAAACTTCACCTCTGCTGGGCTGAAACCATGACCTCACCCATGACCCTGTGGTCTGTCACCTCTGGGAGGACAGCTGTTTCAAACCCTGTTTAGCCTGAGTAGTCTGCAAGAAAAGTATGCCACATGGTTGCCCCTAACAGGAAAAGTAATGATTATCATTCATTTTATTTTTGACTTTTAACTTGATTTCCTAATTCTGGGTCTTCAGAAGAACTTTCTCCAAGAATTTAAGGTAGTACAATCAGGGGCAAAAGCTAGTCACTTTGCAAGCAAAAATCACTAAGCCTGAGTAAACTACCATGAACCACTTGGGGAAAGAGGAAAAAGGGAAACCAAAGATAGGTATCATTCAGCAAGGGCATGAAGAGTAGTTCTGTATCATGGAGAAAACTCCACATCCTCTCCCCTTTCCCTGAGGAGGCAGGGAGCAGCACAACTGGAGTCACCTTGTCTCTGCCTAGGCTTTCTGAAGGAACGGCAGGCTGAACCTCACTCAGATGATCACGTGGTTGCAGAGGCTCAGAGCCTTAATGACTGACCAGGATGACTGGTGGGGACCAGGGGAATCAGACCCTGGCACTCTAATATTAGACAATCCTCACCCCTATACTTAGCAAGAGGCATCAGGTACAGTTGCACATGCCTGTAATCCTAGTGGCTCGGGAGGCTGAGGCAGGAGGATCACAAGTTTAAGGTCAGCCTTAGCAACTTAGCAAGGCCATGCCTCAAAATAAAAAAATAAAAAGAGCTGGGGATGTCGCTCAGTGGGAAAGTGCCCCTGGAGTCAATCCTCTATCTATCTATCTATCTGAAAGAAGAAAAAAGGAGGCAAAACTAATTGTTACACTTTTATAAAAAATACACACTGCCAAGGGAATAAAGGCACCTGTATTCCTTAAAGACTGATGAGATGTCCATGGGCAGCCTCAGAAACATAATTGCCCAGAGTGAAAGACAACCTGCAAAAGTCCTGGGAACCAATGTTTGTGCAGGCAGGGACATGCTTGCCCATCTGCACAACAGCAGGCAGCTCTCGAGAGCCACCACCCCAGCTTCCCAAGGAGCTGAGGGACCAGTCTTTCCAGGGCAGCTGAAGACCAGTTCCCTGGGAGGTACACCCCCCACCCCCCGCCAAGGAAGCATTTTGAACCCACAGAGCCAACATCATTTTCCCCTGTCCCAGGGCCACCAGGGCCAGCCCTGTAAGCCTCCTTTGGCCTTTGCTTCCTGCTAAACACTCCAGATGCAGCTTCCTGCTCCACCCTCTGTTATCAGTATCCATAACATCAGTGTCCACATGGCCTTGCCACCCAAAACCTGGCCCACCCATTTCGTCACTGACCTCCAAAGACTCATCTCAGTTCACGTCAGCTTGCTTCCAGGGTCCTATCTGCCACTGTCATCACCACCAGCTGCACAACCTCCTGGGCCTGGAACGCAATCATCTTATGCTCCCACTCAGCTGCTCCCCGGCCCAGGACAGCAGTGCTGTCGAGAACTCCTGGCCTCACTGAACCCTCCAGACCACCACTCACTCCCACTGGCTCGCTCTCCTCCTCTGTTTAGCTTAGATTCATTTTGTAATCATTCTTTTACAAACAGCATTCAGCTTTCTTGACTCTCTCCCCTCGCTCTAGCCCCTGGTAAGACCTGGCCATCTCTTTGTTCTGTACCTGCAACAGAGCAACTGGAGCTTGTTGGACAAAATCTGCAGGAATGGATGGATGGTTGTACAAACTCACTCCAAAATGGGGACTCACATCACCCAGGAATTCCAGTCCAGCTAAGCTTGATTTCCTGTTCTGTAATTTATTTGATAACTTTGTTCCCTCTGAATATGGCTTTAATTGCAGATTCACTGAGAAAATGCTATGTCTGTGTCCATGATGGTCCCTTCTTTTTCAGTGCCTCTCCAAGGCCAGCTGTGGCCACTGGTCTGGACACTGCCTCTCCAGGGTGTCATTCCTGTCCTCACCTCTGCAAGGTCCATTCCCCATGAGTCTTCTCCCTCAACACACCCTACGTAGTTCAATTATCTTCCAACTTCAAAACACCTCACCCTGGTCCCCATGGTACCCTCCGGCTACTGCGCCTTTCCATATCCAAACACAAAGAGCTGCCCAGGGCCTGCTGGCTCCCTGCTAGCACCCCTCACCCTGGCATCCACCCACGGATTCTCTTGGACTGCCCATGCCAAGTGGCAAAGAGCTCTGTTGGCAGCTACCGAGGGCACTTTCTGCTCCACCCCAGGCTGCAGCATAAGATGAAGTGAACGCTCCCTATTTCAAACCCCCGGGGCCTCAGGCCCTGCACTGCCTCTGCCCCAGCCCACGTTGCTGCTGTTGCTCCAGGAGGAAGGGCTGCTCCACACTGTCGGGGCTTCCCCTCCTTCCCACCTCTGCTCCCCGGCTGTTCGCACAGTGCTGTGGGTCCAAAACCATTTACAATCTATATGTTCCTGATGCCCAGATTTACAACTCAAACCCCCAACCCTAGAGTGGCATATTCACTGCCTGTGTGACATTTCCATAGAATAACAAACTTCATATGAGTGAAAAAGAACTGATTTTTTGTTTTTCACTCCAAACTTGTTTCTCTCCCAGTTTTTCTCACTCAGAAAATCTACTCTGTGGCTTAAGACAGGAAGTTAAGGGCAATCCTGTTTTCTTTTCTTCCCAAGTCAGTCCATCACCAAAGGGAACTATCCATTTGGCTCTATTGCCATGGCAACCACTTTGGTGCATTCACTAGCGTGGCTCCTTATCGTCCCCATCCCTCCCACTGTCTCCCCACATCCACTTCCCCCTCCCACACCGAAGCTGAAGCCACCCTTTAAACACATGGAGCAGGCCCCACTCTTCTTCCACAGGTCTCCACTGCATCACAACAAAGTCCGAGTCCTTCCCACAGGCTCCAGCCCCGCCTGTCTCATCCTCATCTCATGGGCTGTTGGCTTTATTTTTCAGGAGTCTGACACTGTCCCTGAACATCCAGCTGCTCTCAGGGATACTCCTAATCAGGTTCTGGGCCTGGTCATCTGTCAGGTTTCAGTGCAAACACCACCTGTATGGAGAGGTCTTCCTGACTGCTCACTATAGAGCAGCGTCCACCCTACCATGCATCTCAGTTCCCCTGTCAACGCAGTCCATTTCTTTCCTATAACACCTCTTTATAACGACTCACTTATGTGACTTTTTACTTTTTAAAACCTTAAGGTTCAACGTCAGCTCCTTTCCTACCACATCGTGAGCTCTATACCTGTCTTTCCCTCTGTATGTTCAGCACATAGCACAATGCCTGGTCATGTATTAGGTGCCCAATAAATAGTTAATGAATGAATTAAAAAGTGTACTTAAGAGCTCATTTTTTTATATATAATGATTTCATTTTTAAAAAACCAATTTAGGGATTAGCCCTTTAAAAACATCTAAAATATTTGAAGTTTATTTTTTAAAGTATGCAAATTCAGATTTTTCTGAAACATTTATGTCAAGTATGGTTATAATTTAATTTGTATATGTTATTAAGGATCCATATTTCTCTTGATAATTGTTGCTAAAGTTCCATGTTATCACATGTGACATACCTGCGGATTCCTTTTGGTGTTTCTCCAATTATGAAGGTCGTCTGGTCTGTACGGTAGACTTTTTTCTTCTTCTGACTTACAGGGTGTGAAACGCACAGGGGAGAGGAACCGGGTCCTTCACTCGGTGGCTGGTCTGTCCTCGTGTGTGTTACTGTAGCTGGGTTCGCTTTTTCTTCATATGTCTGGAAAAAGGGAAGGAACGAAAGCTTGGTTTTGGTCAAAGAAGGAGGATGTATTACTTTCCCCCAATATGCTCTTTTTAATGAAGTACACATTCTCCATCTGAAATTATTGTCAGAAGATGTCAATCTAGACCTTTAAAAAGATGAAATGGGGAAAATGGAACTATTTCTATTGCTGAGACTGGACATACTGATACACATGTTGAGAGCTACTGTCCCAAATAAAGGTACCAATTAATGACTATATAAATGATGGAATAAAAATGGGTACTCTTAAAATGTTTAAGTTCAGTACATTTGAGTGGTGATTTTTCTCAAAATCATTGAGTAGTCTTTGTTACTTAATTTTACAAAGTAGCCAAACTTATAAAAAGGAACAATTTTATGTGACAAATAAATCATTTTCATCAATACTAGTTTTCAAACTCTGCTGGATTGCAAGAATATCTAGTGATTTCAAGAAGCTACTACAGTTTGTAAACTATAGATAGAATCAAACATTTTAGACTATGGGCTGCTTGTTAAATGTAAATTGTTAGCAAGAGTGGGTTAAAAAATCATTTTAAACCGTATGGTTCCAGTTTCCTTGACAATTGTGAATAGGTGGAAAGCCCCGTTCCATTCCCCAAAGAGAAATACTGGATACAGTTCCACAACAATTACAAGAATAAAATTATATTTGAGCTCAAAAATAAGAAAGTTTCTAGGTGTGAACAACAAAGAAGTGACACAGTGGTGAGTGAGAGTTGACACTAAGCAACTCACAGGGCAGAACCTCATCCACAGGTACAAAGGGCAGAGGGAAGATGGAAATGATTCAACTCCCTGCATTAAAAAATGAAGAAACAAACAAAAAACACAGGAGGTATGAGAAGAATATCTGATTTTCAAAGGAAAGCCTAAACTAGGACACAGCATAGACACAAGCAACCTTTTTCCTCTAGTCAGAGTTATTGCAGAAAAAAATGAAATGCCCAGCTGGTGCCATTGTGGAGTCTGATTTTGCACCACCTGGGTAGTATGGAAAACCCAAGCTGAAAACCAACATAAAAAGATTGGCTAAGAACCAGGGAAAACCACAGATCTAAATGAGGGGTGACTACAAAAACATACCATAGAAAGACTTCCATAATCCAGAGAATGGTTATGATTCCAATGGGGGTAAAAAGGGTTAGGATAAAAATTATAAAGAACATATGAAACCCAACACCATGAACATTGTCAGATGCAACAAAGATGAGAGCTCATATCTGAGCAATGTAAATGAGACTTTAAATTTTCACTAGGTCTAGAAAGATAAAAGAAGGAATAGAATCCACTAGCAAGAATGAGGCATTGTATAGACAGATTTGGGAAAGAACTAAATGCAAACTTAAAAAAAAAAAAAAAAGAGAAAGAAATATAGTTCTGAAATAAAAAATAGAAAGAACCTCAATACATTGGATAAGTAGCAGAATAAACATCCTTATAATAGTTGACTAACTGGAAAAATAAAATTTCTCAGAATGCAATATAGGAATTTAAAAGGAAGAAAAGGAGGGAAATTAAGAGTCAGAAGACATACCAAAACTTCTAAAATGATAGAAGGAAAGACCAGAGAAAATGGAAGAGATTATGTTAATGAGATAATAGTTGAAAATTAAAGAAGGCATGAATCTTCAAACTGAGAAAAGAAAGAGAATCCCTATTGGCAAAAATTAAAATAGTCTGTATTTTGATGGATTACATTTAGAGGGAATATCTTAAAAATTCCCATAGAGAAAAACCAAGGTATCTGCACAGAAGTGACAAACTAACATCAGATTCTTCATTAATATTCCCACTGCCAGATGATAATGGAATAATACCTTTAACATGCAGAGAGAAAAAAACTGTCAACTTGGAATTCTATACCTAGTTAAACTATCATTTTCAAGCATACAAAGACCACCAGAGTTTAATCGACACTGAGTCTTGCTAATGATATAATTATTATTATTTCTTTTGGTAGGGTTTCTATTGGATTGAAGTGGTACACATTCAAAGAATATAGATAGGAAATGTTTTTTAATTCCTCAAGTATTCACTAAATACTCACTATGTTTCTGCCACCATGCTATGCATTTGAGCTAGAGATGTGAGTATATTTACATCCACAAGAAGGTCCTACCCTTAAGGGGTTTAAATGTTCAGCCTATTTTAAAAAACATATGGCATATTTAGCTTTTTTCTTTTAGACATTTACCTGTTTAACTTATATTCAAGTTCATTTTATTGACCAAAAGACAAAACATGGTATGTTCTTTAGTAGCAATCCATTTCTAATGAAAATAAATTGACATCTTTACAAGTTTTGTGACTCAGATGGATAAACACAAAATGACAGCTGACCAGCTTGAACCAGGGCTTTGCAGTAATCAGTAGTATTAAAGATACTTTCCTTAAAGACTTAATTTTTTTGCAAAATTGTACCTTAAAACATTATTAATAAAGAGAAAAAAAGTAGAATCATTAAGAATAAGTTTAAAAGAGATTTGATGCATTATTTCCAACAAAAATCAGATGAACATTCAAAGTTTCTAAAGGCTGATAACCTTAGATGATCCCCAGAAATAACTTTCCATTATTTTAAGAAGAGATGGAACACTTATCTGAAAGTAAAGCGAGTTAGCAGAAGGAGAAGGCTAACAGGAACACTCCCTTCCTCATATCCTGTAAATTCCTGGGGCCTTGGAGAAATCATGCCAGGCAATGGCAATTATCGATTATTTACATGATCACACTGGATATTGCTGACTATGGCAGCAGTACAAAGTTCACATTTTATACAAACATGTTTTTTTTTTCAATCACTTTTATAAATTCGTCAGAAAAATTCAGGCTTTGCAACCACAACTATCAGACAAGTGGATCTTTACATTTTGCCAAGTATTCCATTTCAAAACCCAATTCTTACAACCAATAATAAAAAGGTAAAATTATTTTTCTATTAAATGGGCTCAGTATCCTAACTTTTATTTTTTAAAAATCTATGTTTCAGATTTCCATTTGGTAAGAGACTTTAATCAGGTTGTGAAGCACAATCTGGAATTTACCTGGGTTCTGTTAGCTCTTAGGAATGCAGTGGCTGTCTAGGTTGATGTGGGATGGCAGCTCCAAGGGAGAATACATAACACACTGTGCGCTAGGAAGGGTGTGTCAGTTTCCTGTTGCTGCCATAACAATTCACCACAAAATTATTGACTTTAAATGATATAAACTCATTATCTTAAGTTTCTATAGGTCACTGAGTCTGATGTGGGTCTCACTGGGCTAAAATCAAGGTGCTGGCAAGGCTGTGATCCTTTTTGGATGTTTAGGGGAAAATCCATTTCCTTGCTCTTCTAGCTCTCAGATACTGTCCACAATCTTTGTTTTGTGGTCCTCTTCAAAAGCCAGCAACTCTTCTCTAACACTTTCTCCATGGTCATATCACCCTCTGACCTCAGCCAGGAAAGGTTCTCTGCTTTGAACAGCTAACGTGATTAGCCGGGGCCCATCCAGATAATCCAGGATCAAAGGATCCTGGTCATCTGATTAGCACCCTTAACTGCATCCATGCAAAGAAGCTATCTCAAGGCCACTGATTTAACCTTAATTGCATCTATGACTTTAACTCCCTTTTGTCAGGTAAAGAAACATATTAACAGGTTCCAGGAATTACTTCATGAGCATATTTGGGGAGGGCGTTATTCTGCTTCCCATTGTGGGGGGAATATGGACTCTTAACCTGGGTTTCAAGGTTATGCAGATGGGTGTCAGTGATTTCAGAAGGGGTGTCTATGAATCCTGAAGCTGTACAACCACACTTTTCAGACACAAGAGTCTGTGACTGTTTTAAGTGGCAACACTGTTTATGTAATTTTCAAGAAGTCTTATTTTTCTTTGAAAAACAATTACTGTTTGAATTTATAAGCATTTTGGTGTTCTTGTTAGAAAAGTAAAATTCTCCTGCCTTACAGTAAGAGTACAGTCAATCTTTTACAACAGTCTACACGGGGAAAATATGCCACAGTGCAGCCACTGTTGCAGCCACAGCCGGCATCTCTTCTGCACAGTGAAGTACAAGGTCTATGGCCAGACCAAGAGATTCTAATTCTAGATTGTGTGGCTAGATTCAAAATTTGTTCATTCCCACTTAGATGGCAGCTATAAAATCCAGATGTGGAAAGACCACGGTGCAGCAGCGACAGAAATGAAGACGCAAGGAAGGAGGAGCGCAGTAAAATGAGGCGGAGCAGGAACTGAAAAGGCACAAGTCCTTCTTAATGTTAGGACAGAGGATGAAGCTCCTTGTGCTGCTCAAGAAAGCAAAATAACATCACTCCTCTTTCCTCCGGAGGACAGAGTGGCCAGCAACTAGAGTGCTGTGTGTGCTGCATGGAGAATGTTGTGTTACAACAGGAAGGAAGAAAGCAAAACTCCCAGTTTCTGTGAAAGCTCCCAATTGCCCCTAACTTTTCTAAAAAGGATTCTTCAAAAGTATCTACCAAGAATTAAAGGTACTAAACTCTGTGATTCTGATTATGGTTATGATAATAAAACAAGGAAGAAATTATGAAGACAAGAGCTCTGTGCAGCCAGACACAGTGGTGAGCACCTATGTGACTCAGGACTCTGAGACAGAGGATCATAGGTTCAAGGCCAGCTTCACCTAGGCCACTTAGCAAGACCCTGTCTCAAAATACAAAATACAAAAGGGCTGGGATGTGGCTCAGTGGTAAAGTGCCACTGGATTCAATCCCCAGTATCAAATACTTTGTGCAGTATTTGTATAGTAGAAGTATTTCTGCTAATACTCTATTTTAGAAGGTGTTACTATTAAAGCATAATTTATCACTTAGTAATTGCTATGTTCACAATTATGTCCACAAATTATTAGACTTTGTTTGGTACTTTCCCTATAGTATTTATATATAAAAAAATCAAATTCTATTTTTGGAATATATATCAAAACTAAAATCTACTAAGAAATGTAAGAA